CAAAGGATCTCCCTGTCTTAGACCTCTCTCCGGGACTATATTCCCTCTTGGCTGCCCATTCATGAGTACCTTATACTTTACTGATGTGACGCATCTCATTATCATAGATATCCAAACGTCAGAAAATCCCATTTTCCTCATGGTGGCTTCAATGAAGGACCACTCCATCCTATCATATGCCTTGCTCATGTCTGTCTTAGTAGCCATCCTTTTATTTCGGCCACTAGGTTTTGTTCTGAGGGCGTGAAACAACTCTTGGGCTATCATTATGTTGTCAGATATCTGTCTCCCAGCAACAAAGGCTGACTGAGTCTCTGAGATTCTGTCTGGTAGAAATTTTTTCAATCTCTGGCATAAGACCTTAGAGATAATCTTGTAGCTAACGTTGCACAAGCTAATAGGGCGTAACTGGCTCATCTGATTTGGCTTATCCACTTTTGGAATGAGGCATATGTTGGTGTCATTTAACCCAATCGGCACTGTCCCTTCAAATAAGAATTGATTAACCATAAGAGTTAAATCATCCTTAACAACATCCCAGAATTTCTGATAAAAAAGCGCCGTCATTCCATCTGGTCCCGGGGCTTTCTCTGGGTGCATCGCGAAGAGAGCCACTTTAACCTCCCATTCAGTGACCGGAGCTGTTAAGGTCTCATTATCTGATACTGTAATTGTCGTTGNTCCTTCAACTCCTCTATACTTTTCTCTGAGTTCACATTAAGTTGCCTTTTCCATTCGCATAGGGCTCGCCTACAACTTGCAATATGGTCCATGATACTCGCCCCGGGTGGAAGATCAGGTGACTTCCACCCTTCAAGAATTATTCGCCTGAGCTCCTCGTTATCCAGCCATCTTTTATCAAATTTAAAGTTTCTTGATCTCTGGCATAAAAAAAAAAAAAAAAAAAAAAAAATATATATATATATAAATAAATATATTAAATTATAACATTATTAACAACGAAGAATCAATATATAAATAAATAAAACGAATAGTTGGAAAAATATATTTACTTTTTTTTTCGTTTTGAAAACATGAATAAACATGCTAAAGTTTCAAACAAAAAGTGCTATAACATAATTTTTTTAAAATATGTTAAAACATGTTCAAGATCTTGATTGTGTCTGCGGTACAATTCTTTGTCTTCTCCACCCAAAGCCATATGATACTAATTATCTCTCACTCCCTCAATTATTACTATTATTTTGTTTTATTTTGTTAATAAGTAATATCTACAGTACTGTATAAAGAAAATAAAACTTCGCCTCGTTCTTCTCCCTCTGTCTCTATCTCTCTCCTTCACTCTGAGCTCAAGCGATTACCTCCGATGGCAAAAACCTCTGAAGTGAGTACTTAGCTCTTTTCTGTCTGCTTCTGAATCCATTTTCATGGATCTTGGAGTTCGGATTCAAGGGTCGGTTTCTGGTCATGAAAACGGGTCTCCGGGTCAAACAGAACTCGGATCTGGTTTCGGAAACAAACAAGAAAGATCCGGTTTTGACGGTGAAGATTTCTTTAGGAGCTCGAAGCTTTCAAGAACATCCATAGATGGATTCTCTTCCTCCTCCGCTGCAGCTAAGAGTCTGTCGTTTCATCAAGGCATACCTCTCTTGAGATCTACCGCTATCGATCCTCGCAGACAAGAACATATGCTTAGCTTCTCCTCTGCTTCCGACAAATCAGATGTCTCGCCGTATCATCAGTACGGTAGAAACTCAGGTCTGAAAGAAAGTACTTCTGTTTTCTTTTTACCTTTTTTTCTGTAACACGTTTTCTTTTTACCTAAGTTACTTTTGATATGTGTTTTTGCCTAGAGATTGATTGAATGAAATACACGGTTTTTTTTTGAAAAAAACTTAGATATTCAATATCCTAGACTACATGGGTTTAGCTAAGAGTTTTATTTTCTGAAATGGGTTTTTGTCAAATTTTTAAATTACTGTATGGGATTTATGTCATATTTAGAAATTTAGATATGGTTCTGCGTTTGTGACAGGATATGGTTTAGGAGGAATGATGAACACAAGCAGCATCCATGGAAGCTTGATGACAGGAATTAAAGTACCTTTTTCATTGACCCAATGGGCTGAGCTAGAGCAACAGGCGTTGATCTACAAGTACATCACAGCCAATGTCCCTGTGCCAACTAGTTTGCTCCTCTCTCTTAAGAAATCGTTTTTTCCTTATGGATTCTTGCCTCCTAATTCCTGTAAGCTCCTATTTCGTATGTTTGATTTAAACAGTGTCTCTTGCTGAACACTTTAGGATACTGATCAATACTTTGATTCATTATTGCTGCTAAAATATTTGCCAATAATCAAATTTATACAAGCCTCTCAAGTTGATATCTTTACACATTAAGGGTTTATAAAATATTCCTTTTTTTTTCTGGGAAATGTGCTTGGCGAATGGTTGTTTTAAGAGATGTTGAGAGGTTCCTTTTTGTGTGTTTATTTTGTAGTTGGATGGGGCTCTTTTCATCTGGGATTTTCCGGCGGCAACATGGATCCAGAACCGGGGAGATGTCGCCGGACAGATGGAAAGAAATGGCGGTGCTCGAGGGATGCTGTTCCCGACCAAAAGTACTGTGAACGACACATTAACCGAGGTCGTCATCGTTCAAGAAAGCCTGTGGAAGGCCAAAATGGCCACAATACTAATGCTGCCTCTACTGCTACTGCTTCCAAGGCGGCGGTGCGTGGAGCAGATAATAACAATATTCTCGTTGGAACTCTTCATCATTCCAATCCTTCTATGGCTAGCAGGTAAATAAAGTTTAAATCTTTTTTTTTCCTTTTTGATATAACATATTTGCTTCTTTTTTCTTTTTTCTTTTGAAACACTGATATAACATATTTGCATATTCCTAAGAGCATCTCCAACCAAGACCTCATTTTAAGGGGAGCAAAACTTCAAAATGAGGATTTGAGGGTTGATTACTCCAACCATAAAACCTCAAAAAAATCTTTAAAAGTTTACATTATTTGTATTATAGTCCTTGCTATTAACAAAAAATATGAATAATGACAATACTTCACAAATACATATAAAACATACAATTAATATTTTATAGAACACACAATATTATATGATAAAATAATATAAATTACATATATAATAAAATAACTTACACACAGACAAAATTTAGAAAGTTACATTTAAAATACCACTTGTAAGATATGTAATATTTATATAATTTGCTTTAATTTATGTTAAGTTTGTTTAATATTTTTTTTATTTTTATGAGTTTTATTTAATGTATTTTAATATTTGTGTGAATTTAATTTTAATGTTTTGTAATATTTGTTATATTTTATTTTATTTTGGTGTATTTAAGTTACTCTAAATAAAGTTAATAGATGTATTTGTGAAAGAAAATAATTGTAAGGACTAAAAAGACAATGAATAGTAATTTTGAGGTTTTGAACAGTGAAACCTCAAATTTGAGGTGTCACTATTCAAAACCTCAAAATTTGAATATTTGAAGTTTGGTTGGAATGACAAAAACCTCAAAATCTAAGGATTTGAGGTTGGGTATGCTCTAAATTTTTTCTTTTGTGATTGTGACCACTCCGTATTAATTGAGCCTTAGTATTCAATGTGGTGTGGATTTTCTTTTATGAACTGTTTACTCCTTTCCTTGAGTCCAAAATATTATATCACATCTATTTTGTTAAAATATAAATGGGTTTTTTTCTTTTTTTCAATGACAGAGTTCAAAATGCTCAAGGGGCTTCGTTTTTTTCACCCACAATGAACTTACAACCGAAGGAAACTCATCTGAAACAAAGCAATAATCCTTTCGAGTTTGGACTCATCTCCTCCGACTCCTTACTTGACCCGTCCCATAAACAACCCTCCTTCGCAAACTCCTCCAAAGGCTTTGGGTCGTATCTTGACTTCAGCAACCAAGCAAAGGATTCCAATGTTGAATCTTGGACGGAAGAGCTGAAATCGGATTGGACTCAGCTCTCAATGTCAATCCCTATGGCACCATCTTCCCCTGTTCAAGATAAACTAGCTCTATGTCCTTTAAGGCTATCACGTGACTTAGACCCTGCTATCCACATGGGGTTAGGCGTCCACACTGAGTTTCTTGAGCCTGCAAAAAAGGCAAATAACTGGATACCAATCTCATGGGGTAATAATAACTCCATGGGAGGTCCTCTAGGTGAGGTACTAAACAGCACAACGAACAGTCCCAAGTTTGGTTCTTCTCCAACAGGCGTCTTGCAGAAGTCGACGTTTGGTTCTCTTTCTAATAGCAGCTCAGGAAGCAGCACTGTCCTTGGTGATAATAGCAACAAGAACTGCGATGGAAAGGATCCTCTTGGCCCGACCACACTGATGAACTCCTCTGCTTCTGCCCCGTCTCTGTAAAACATGAAAAGTAGGACGATGGCGAAAAAATTTCAAAAACATTCTGTTTTCTCTGTTTCTTTTTTCCTTGGTGCATTGTTGTTGTTTTCGATATAAAGACAGAAGAAACAAAAGGAGAAATGGACATGACTTCTCTCCATCTATCTGATTTCTTAGACCATGGATTTATTGGTTCTCTATCATTAAAATCTTGATTTCTTGTATCTGTTTCCTAAACCATGGATTTATTGGTTCTTTCTGTCAGTTTTTTTTGTCAAGTCTAAAACATTATGATTTGAACTTTATTTTTGAAAAACGCCTAAGCCATCTGAATGTTTTGGCTTTGGCGTTGATCATTCGAAAGTTAACGGTTTGTTAGTTAACACGTCTGATTAATCGTCCAATTCTATCCGAACAGACAATTAGAGACCTTAGCAAAAAAATTGAACAATTATAATTAGTTTGTACAAACATTAAAATGTGAATTAAGATTTGGAGAGGTTTCCTAGTTGTAGACAAGAGGTGGAATGAACTTCTTCAAAAGACAACTGTCTCCCACTTTAGTCTGTTGTTCTGTTTCTCCACTTTTGGGTCCCGTTACTACATTTCGCACACTCTCTACAACCCTACTTTATTTATTCTTGTTTCCTTTAAAAAGAGTGGAGGACCATGAGTTTATGGATGGTCCATCAGTTTTTCTCAGTTTGGATATTTGTATATTTGGGAGCATAATACGACACGTGACATTTGTTGGTCGATCCAGGCACTTCCACTTGCACGAGACAAGACAATTCTTACCGAATATATATCTCACAAGATATTTTTAGAAATTAAATATTTAATTTTTCATTATTTTATTTCCAAACTATTTAATTTTCAATTATTTTCTAAATTCAAAAATTATTCATTCTTTGGAAATGTACGTAGGTGCATGTTAGATTAAAGGCATACAATTAAAAGTGATGTGGACTAAGTATTTTCTTGTACGATAAACAGTAATAAATTTTTTTAATTTAACTTATATGTTAAAATTAAGTTATGTTAATCTTCTAGATCTTATTATTTTATACTAATATTAAATTTTAATTTAGTTAAATCTAAATTAAAATAAAATAATACTGATTTTATTTTAAATTATATTACAGACGGTTCGTAAGAATATGTTCTTGATTGGTGAATATGATGTTAACACCATAAATGTTGCTAGCATTTACTATCGACATGGAGGGATTTCAGCGCAGTAAGGAATATTTTCCTAATTTTACAATCAGACATGTACCTGAAGCACAAAATCTTATGGCAAACAAACATATATGTGGTGCTCGAATTTTTTCTTTTGCTTGATTGTATGTTGATTCTATTTCATCGGTTTAGATTTCTGAATCAGGTGTTTCTTTGAGTTAGTGTATAGATATTGTTGACAAAAGAGATCTAAAGAGAGACATAGTTACATCTTTTTTTTTCTTTGATTGGATTTTAACTTTATTTTTTATATCATTTGATGATGGTATCTCCATTGTTGCTGAAAATGAAGCTCTAGGAGAAATAAGACATGTCTCATCTCCAAAAACTTTTTCTAAAAGTCTCGTGTCCCGATAAGAGATGATTGTTTGTCCGTTCTAAGTGGTACAGAACAATTTAGATCAAGTTTTTTTGTTCCTTTGTTTTCCAAACTGAGCCGATTACTTCTGCTTTATTAAAATAGAGTTATTCTTTTTACTGATACAAGTTATCATTTAAATTTGCACATTTTCTAGAGTGTTACAAATAATACAAGTAATATAGTTTATTGAATCGCATTACTTAAATTAAACTAGCGGTTATTTATGGAATAGAGTTTTGGGCTTACTTTTGTTTTTATGACATTTAATTGTTTGGTTTTTGGGCTTAGTATTAAAGAAAAACTCTAAAACATTAAATAAACTTTCCACCTTAATGGATCAAAAATCAATTACTATTATGAGGCCCAAAAATATTTAATATTTTCAACAAAACCAAATTATATATTATTAATCACTTATTTAAATCATATACTTTAAAACATGTTAATATCTTTTAGCCCAAAAATATTTAATTATTTTCAACAAAACAAAATTATCTATTATTAATCACTTCTTTAAATCATATACTTTAAAACATGTTAATATTTTTTATTTTAAATAACAATCACTCTATCTTGATAAATTTTAATGGTAACTTTTAAATAATTTATTGTTTTATTTTTCTTAAATAATTTACAAATCAACAAAACAAATTATCTATTATTAATCACTTCTTTAAATCATGTACTTTAAAACATGTTAATATTTTTATTTTAAATAACAATCACTTTATCTTGATAAATTTTAATGGTAACTTTTAAATAATTTATTGTTTTATTTTTCTTAAATAATTTACAGATTTAAAAAAAAATGTAAAGCAAAACCAAAAACCAAATCTAAAAACTAAAATCCAAAACCAAAAGCTGAAAACGCAAGTTATTATTTTTTTTCTTTTTTTATTTTCAAAATAAACTATTTCAAAAATTTTAGAAAATTATTTTGTCATCTTTTCAGTTTTAAATTACATGTTCGATTAATTGAGATTTGTTTGTTGGTAATATCAGTTCAAACTAACTCAGCGGGTCTAAAAATTAAAAACCCAACCCAAAAGCTGAAAATAAAAAATAGAAACTTAAAAACTAAAAACCAAAAACCAAAATTTAAAACAAAATCTAAAATAAAAACTGACACTAAAAACTAATGAAACACAACTATCACCACAAATTTTGGTAAACTAATTTTATATCAAAACATTCTTTAAATTAAGATAAAACCCAATTATATAAATTTTTAATCATAAAAAAATTCTACGCTTTTCAAGCGCGGATCAAAATCTAGTGTTACAAATAATACAAGTTATATAGTTGATTGAACCGCATTACTTGAATTAAACCGGCGATTATTTATGGAATAGAGTTTTGGGCTTACTTTTGTTTTTATGACATTAATTGTTTGGTTTTTGGGATTAGTATTAAAGAAAAACTCCAAAAAACATTAAATAAACTTTTCAACTTAATGGATCAAAAATAAATTATTATTTTCAGGTCCAAAAATATTTAATATTTTCAACAAAACAAAATTATCTATTATTAATCACATATTTAAATCATGTACTTTAAAACATGTTAATATTTTTTAGCCCAAAAATATTTAATATTTTCAACAAAACAAAATTATCTATTATTAATCACTTATATAAATCATGTACTTTAAAACATGTTATATTTTTTATTTTAAATAACAATCACTCTATCTTGATATATTTTAATGGTAACTTTTAAATAATTTATTGTTATATTTTTCTTAAATAATTTACAGATTAAAAAAAAAATGTAAAGCAAAACCAAAACCAAATCTAAAAACTAGTATCCAAAACCAAAAGCTGAAAACGCAGGTTATATTTTTTGCTTTTTTATTTACAAAATAAACTATTTCAAAATTTTTAGAAAAATATTTTGTCATCTTTTCAGTTTTAAATTACATGTTCGATTAATTGAGATTTGTTTGTTAGTAATATCAGTTCAAACTAACTCAGCGGGTCTAAAAATTAAAAACCCAAACCAAAAGTTGAAAATCAAAAATAGAAACTTAAAAACTAAAAACCAAAAACCAAAATTTTAAACAAGATCTAAAAAACTGAAACTAAAAACTGAAACTAAAAACTAATGAAAAACAACTATCACCACAAATTTTGGTAAACTAATTTTATACAAAAACATTCTTTAAATTAAGACAAAACCTAATTATATAAATTTTAATCATAAAAAATTTCCGCGGATCAAAATCTAGTTATTTCTTAAAATTTCAATGTGCTTCTATTTACGCATCTTTGACCGCTTTGATGTTTCCTGGTTTGATTTCACCTGCTTCCTCTTACAATTGTCGGTCATTTGTGAAACGGGAAAATTGATAGAATAACCCTCAACTTTTGAAAATAAGCCAAAAAAATCTCTAACTCACAAACAAGTTATTTTAACCTTCAACTTCTAGTCAAACACGAATAAATCTCATACTTTCGTTGACCAAGCCATTTTAATCTTGTCAAAAATCAACCGTTTAGTTCCGTTAGTTATATTTAACGGTTGACTTTTAATGAACCTAAAAGGGCTTGGTCAACGAAAGTATGAGATTTTTTTAATCTTAATTTAAAAGTTAAAGATTAAAATTGCTTACCATCCATGATAGACATTTTCCTGGTTTTGATTGTCTATACCAATTTGAATTACCTCTTCTGATAAATAAATTAGTAGTATTCTTTAATTTTTTACCTGTGAAGACGTTATCAGTTTTCGTCATTGCTGACGTCATATATAACAAGTTTTTTCTTTTTTTTTATCAGCGATAACAAGTTTTCTAGATTGAGAAATTTCCTTTGTTTGCTTCAGTAGTGTTTATTATCTTAAGTTTGAACACAAATTACAAAAGTAACATATTTAGATATAGTTAAAAACTTAAAGAAAAATGAAGATATCACTATAATAAATTTTAGATATAGTTAGTAGTATTTATAATAAATATGATTTTTCATATCGATTGTAATCACTAACTTACTAAAATATGTTCATATAAATTTAGATATAATATTTAAAAAATAATTAAAAACAGAAAAAATTTATACATCAGTTGCCGAAAATCCCTTTCACGCACTTGACTTCCTCATCTTCACTTGTTTCATCCTCTATTGAGTATATGTGATTATAATTTTAACAACAATGTGTTTAGGGTTTTACCTTTAACTTTTATGTTTTTATTCTTAATTTTTTTCTGAATATAAACATTTAATTATTTTATTTATATCTGAATTTACAGTATAATTGTATTTTTAATCAAGTTTTTTTACTAAACAATTTTTTTTTTTGTTTTTAATTCATTTGAAAATATTATAACTAAACTTATTTGAACATATTTTATTAAGTTTGTAATTCTAATCAATATTATAAACTACAATTTTTGTTGAAAAAAATAAAACAAAAATAACAATTTTTAGTTAAGATATTTTTCAGTGAACAATTTTAATCTTCAACTTTTAAATTAAAATAAAAAATCTCATACTTTCGTTGACCAAGCCATTTTAGGATCATTAAAAGTCAACCGTTAAATATAACTAACGGAAGTAAACAGTTAAATTTTGAAGAGATTAAAATGGCTTGGTCAACGAAAGTATGAGATTTATTCGTGT